ACCCACCAATCATATTCAAATGAAAATATGAAAAACTTTATAATATTAAAAGAAGGCAAACCTAATTTAATAAATGATTATAAACTAATCAAATTACTCGAAAGATATGAAAATAACATACCAGAATTAAAAATTGTTATACATGCCTCTATGGGATTAACAATAAATGACAAACCCCAATATGATAGCAAATATAACTGGAAAATAGCCAGAATAATAGAAGAAATAAAGCACATATGACAAATAGAAAGTAAAGTATATGTATTATATGTAGGCATATCAAATACAGGTAAAGATACAAGAAAAAAAGTACAAATTAAGATAAACCTTAAGGAAATACTTAGAAAAACACACGACACCAAAGTAATAATATTACTAAAAAACTCTGCATCGAATAAATGCTATGGAGCTAATATGGAAGAGCTCTTATAAATAAAAAAAAGCATTAAGAAAGAATTACAACACTTTGAAGATGAAAATGAAATAAGGTACCAAGAATAAAGTTGTGTTTTGACACACAATACTATTTCGCGCAGGAGCCGGCAGATTTATAGAAGACTACAAAGAAGTCTTAGACAGATATGAAAAAGAAATCTATCTAATATACATAAATAATGTAATGAAAGAAAAGAAAATAAACAGGCCTGACGGAGCATGTACAATAGTAAGGCCTACTGCATTTGGCTCTGGCCAAGATATATATGCACCATTACTGAATAGACAATTACCACAAGAAATATTCGAAATGATAATAAAACACCCAAACACTAAAGCAACTATATTAGAAACACCTGGAAAATGAAACACAAAAAGAAGAACAAATATCTGAAGTATATATATTTAGAAAATATGCAGGTGATCTAATAGCTGAAGACAAAGAATTATATGCATCAATCGAAGAGCGAGTAGATGCAATGTTACAAGACTTTACACTAAAAAATTTACTACCAAATATAGATATAATAGATCTTACAAAATAAATGAACTGATTAACTATCCAAGATAGGGAACACTATCAAGACCCTAAAGAAGAAAAGTCACAAAAAAGAATTAGAGAACAAAAACGAAAAAGAACTTTACAGATAACAAATAAATTCTTAAACAAATATAGAATTGAAGAAGTTACTAAAAAGAAAAAGGCTTCACCACCAACTACACCAAAAAACTTAACAATGATATTAAATAAAAATATAAAAGAAATAAAAGACAAAAAAGATAAAGAAATTCAAAATGAACAATTTGTAAAAGATTTAGAAGAATTAATGACAGAAATAACTAATATAGAAAATGAGTATGAGGCAATCCAACGGATGCCAAAAAATAAACTTGAGAAAGTGTATCAACAAATACAAACTATACCAACATTACCCAAGAAATTAGAGAAATTCAAGATAATGAAACACCCAGAGAAAAGATTTATACTTTCTAAATTGGCATAAAGAACAACAAAGCTAACGAAACTATATTATAAGGCTAAATAGCTGAACGAGAAAAGAATTACTAATATACATATAATGATGCTATACAAATACAACCTCAGCAATTTGTAAATATGCCTATGGCAGATAAACAACTAGTCATGCAACAACTAGTAGAAGAATCCAATAGTAATAGAAATCCTAAAAAACAAGAACAAGCTAGACAAAGGTACTTTGACAATCTTATGATGAAAACAAAGAGATTTGACCATGTTAAACAAATTCAAAAGCAACAACAAAAACAAAGTAATATAATAAAAGATGAAGATTCAGATAGTATAAAATCTGACAAAGAACATCAACAAAAAAATGATGAATTCTTCAAACAGTACTATGAAGGACAAGATATTGTAAACCCAAACCAGTATCAAACAATATATATACAAGAAGAAAACATATCAGACCTAAACTTAGGAGAAGAAAGTGAAACACAAGATATACCACTACCTTCACCAAGATATACCCCACAAATAACACCTTCACATTCAAAAACACTATCAGTAGATTTAGAAAATATAATGCTACCAGATGCTTCACCACATCCTATAACTATAGTACCTGCTTCACCAAAGTCAACTATTAAACGATTCTCAGAAACTGTATTATCATATATACCAAAAATACTATTTTTAACAAGAAAAGATTCAAATCAGGATTTATGAAAAACTGCAATGAAAGATAATGCTACAGTGCAATTGCACAAACCAACCTTACAAATGGATAACATGCAAAACAATAAATTCACCATACCACCAATAACTGCTGAATTCAAATGATAAAGACAAATATCATTTACCAAAAGACATGAACCCAAAACATCCAAGTCACAAGGAAAGATAAAAGAACCAACTATTGAAAAACAAAACAAACTAAAAGTAGACGCATTTAACAAACCTTTTAAAAAAATGATAGCTGACGTAGACCAGCAACTAAGAGAATCAAATTATAAATCACCTATGAATCACCAAGTGAATCAATAGAAGTATCACCCAAACTAAAACCAATAACAAATTGACTATCAACACCAGTTCCTAATAAAGGTGGAACCACATATAGTTACAATATTGAACTAGATTCTGTAGAAATACAATATAAACCAATAAAAATGAATGTAAAAACTATAAAATTACACAAAGCCTTAGCATATATACCAAATAAAATAAGATGACATATAATACCAACAATTGGAAAAGGGCAACCTGTTTATACAAATAAACAAGTAACCGTAAAACCATTTACATAGCAAAATATAGAAATAATTAATCCGAAAAAAGGAAATGAAAACTTAATTAAAAAACCAGTGCATATTGCACAAAACAGATTAACTATCCAAGACGGATTAATCTGAGATTCGACAAATAAAATACAAATATTTAATTGGACGAATAAACCAATCAAAATATCTAGCAAAACACATATAGGAAACATAGAAAAGTAAAAGAAATCTTTGATTTTCAACATAAACAACATAAAGACGACTAGAAAAATAAAGAAAAAAGATTAAAAATATTAATCAAAAATACTGACCCATAGTATAGAAAAATGTTTGAACTATTGTTCAAAAAATATGTAAAAACAGTATTTAGAATGAAACCAGAAGAAGCAACTATATTTAATTCTAATTGGCAATCCACCTGAGACCTGAACAAAAATTTTTTTTTTATATATAAATTTTACTATAAGTGCGAATGTGCAGCACCCTATCTAAAACTTTTTTTTTACTAAGTAAATCACTCTTGGGCTTCTAACAAAAATTGTAAAGCTTATCAAGATGTATTTAATAATGAAAGAGCATTAAAATTGGCCTAGTAGTTTTTGAATAATCTTTAAAAACTTCTTTTTCATATATAAAAATTTCTTTAAAAAAAATCGATTTTTTTTAAAGTTTATATGTAAAAAAAAAGCTTTTTAAAGATTTCTCAAGAACCACCAAGCCAATTTTAAAGTTCTTTTATTATTAAATGCATTTTGATGAGCTTTGCAACTTCTGTTAGAAGCCTATGAGTAATTTACTTAGTAAAAAAAAAGTTTTTGATAGGGGCGCTCACATTCGCACTTATAGTAAAATTTATATATAAAAAAAAAATTTTGTCCAGGTCTCAGGTAGATTGTCTACTAAAAAATTTACACCAATAAGCTTACCACTTAACACTCTAGAAGAACAAATATCTAGAAGTGAAAATCACGAATAAGAACATGACCATTAGATCCAGAAGCACAAAAGAAAGCTGATAAACTTTATGAAGGCCTAATTAAAGATAAATATATAGAACCATCAACATCAGATTGGACATCACCCCTTGTGATAATTAAGAAACAAGATGGAAGCTATAGAATAGCATGTAATTACACCAAGCTTAATAAATATACAAAAGATGACCCTTTTGAAATACCATATATAAATACCTTTTTATAGAAAATTGTGCAGTATAAATACTACACCACAGTAGATTTTAAAGCAGCATATCACCAATTCTCATTACCAGAAAAAGAATGAGATAAAACAACTGTATTTTTTCCAACCAAAGGAAAATATAGGTAGACAGTACTACCTATGGAATTGAAAACAGCACCTGCATATATGATGAGATATATGTATAAAATTTTTTCTTACTTACTGTTCATAGCAGTGTATATGGATGATGCAACAGTATTGGCAAATAGCCCTGAAGAACTTTTTAAGAATCTCGAAATGGTATTCGAGAGCATAAAAAGAGCGGGCATGGTATTAAAATCTGAAAAATATTCATTTTGCTTAACTGAAACAAAAATTTTAAATTATTTGATATCATATGGAAAAATACAATCAAACCAAGTTAAAAAAAAAAAAGCAAAAAAATTAAAAATTCCTAAAGATATAAAAGGAGTATGACAATTCACTAGATTCATAAATTACTTCAGAAGTTTTATTAAAGACTTCTCGAAAATTGCAAAACCAATATATGACCTTTTGAAGAAAGATGTACCATTTAAGTGGATACTCGAGTATCAAAATGCATTTGACAAACTTATTAACTGTGTAGAAAACATTATAGCATTAACCTATCCAAAACCTGGATACCAATTAATAATAGAAACAGATATGTCAGATAACTCTATAGGTGCAGTGTTAAAACAAGTTAGCCCAGAATTAATGTATTACAAAACCAAAATGAAAACACTTGAAGACAAAGAAGATTATTGGACTAAATCTCAAGAAGAAGTAATAGAATTCGGATTAATGAATTTAACTGAGTCCCAACAAAAATAGAAAAGCATGCAAAAAGAAATGTACATGATATACACATATCTTACAAAATAGAAACCATATATAGGAACAAGACATGTAATAGTACAAACAGATAATACAGGAACAATACTTAAAGAAGGAAAAATACCAAGAAATTCAACTATTAAAAGATGGTTAATAGAACTGCAAGACATGAAATATACAATAGACAGATCTCTAGAAAAGACAACACAATGGCAGATTGGTTATCACGACACTTAGAACAAATAGAAAGAAAGAAAAATATTCTGCTAAACTTAACAATTGAACCGAAACACGAGTTACGAAAAGACTTCAAAGAAAAATCAGAAAAAGTAGAAAAAGAAAAATAGAAAAAAGGCAAAAGCCCAACTCTACCTAATAATTTATTAATCACTATAATCACCATCGGAATATAGAGTATCACTCTGAGTTAAATCACAATAATTATACATTAAATCATCTATAGTATATATACAACTACAATAAATAAAATTACAATCTCTACAACGAATAGCTTCCCAATCGAAGCCTGGATCTAAATCTATATATAATTTATCTTATCTTCAGAAATCTTTATTACGGATGAAGGACTATTAGAAAAAGAAGAATTAGAGCAAGAGCTTGACTCATCACCTTTAGAAAAATCATCTTGACAAAAATTACTATCTACCTGAATAGTTAAAAAATTATTTAAAGAGGAAGTAGTTTCCTAATCACAACCTTCGCTAGAAACACTACATATATTAGTATCGATAGAAATAATATAATCTGTTAAGAATTGACCAAGAGTAATTTCTTCCTCAAACCAATAATTATTAAGAACTTCTTTAAAAAAGTAACCCTTGAAGTCTTCATTATCATACATGACCCACTTGAAAGAGTTAATATCAAACTTGAAGGAAGGATCATAAGCTCAAATATATTCAGAAGTAATATTCTGAAGAAAAGAACCTATATGGTAATCACTATAAGTATTCCATATATGTTCAGCAAGTGGATAGGATATGACGATATCCTTAATATAAAGATCAATATGAAGATGATCATAATCACTAATTGAAAGATTATTTGAAG